GCCCATGGTTGGTTTGCAGTGGCACTTTAGAGCATGTCTCTCAGCAGCCCAAGGCCCCTTGGAGATGGGAGATTAGCAGCTCCTTGCTCTGGGCTCTTGGACAGAAGGGAGCTGGGTAGAGACCTTCTCACCCGGGAAGCTCATCCTTAAAATCCCGAGGACAGGCAATCCAGAGGCAGAAAGAGAAGCAGCCTTCTGTCTTTTCCCAACAGCCATCACCCTCTAGTGGCAACAGCTAGAGGAACACTTGTGAATTTTGCACGGTTCACAGGTGGCGAGGAGGCTCTGTGAGCACACACTGAGCGTATGCCAGGGCTCATCAGTTATTTGTGGGCAAGGTCCAAATTGCTTGGTCAAGGTATAGTCAAGAGCCAGACTCCAGAGAAAATAATACAAAAATAATAACTAATGATAATAAGTAAATTAAAAGATTTCGAAAGCGGCTGGCAGGTAGGGTTGCCAACTTTGTAATCGCACAAAACTAAACACCCTTGCCCTGCCCCGCCCCTTCCCCAAGGCCCCGCCCCCACTCGCTTCACCCCCCCTCCACTCATTGCTCATTCTTCCCCACCCTCACTCACTTGCACCGGGCTGGGGCAGAGATTGGGGTGCGGGAGAGGGGTGAGAGCTCTGGTGGGGGGTGCAGGCCCTGGGATGGGGCCGGGGATGAGGGGTTTGGGGTGCGGGAGGGGGCTCCGGGCTGGGGCAGAGGATTGGGACGCGGGAGTGGGTGCAGGCTCCGGTAGGGAGTTAGGGTACGGGAGGTGGCTCAGGGCTGGGGCAGAGGATGAGGGGTTTGGGGTGCGGGAGGGGGTGCAGGCTCTGGCTGGGGATATGGGCTCTAGGGTAGGGCCAAGGATGAGGAGTTTGGGGTGCAGGAGGGGTCTCAGAGCTGGGGCAGAGGGTTGGAGTGCAGAAGGGGGTGCAGGCTCCAGGAGGGAGTTTGTGTGCGGGAGGGAGCTCAGGACTGGGGCAGGGGGTTGGGGTGTAGGAGGGGGTTCGGGATGCGGGCTGGCTCCTAGGCGGCGCTGACCTCAGGCAGCTCCCGGGAAGCAGCAGCATGTCTGGCTCCTAGGTGGGTGATGTTACCTCAGGCGGCTCCCAGTCGGCGGCACAGCAGGGCTAAGGCAGGCTCCTTGCCTGCCCTGGCTCTGCGCAGCTCCCAGAAGTGGCCGGCATGTCTGGCTTCTAGGCAGAGGAGCCAGGGGGTTCTGTGTGATGCCCACGCCCACAGGTGCCGTCCCCGCAGCTCCCATTGGCTGGGGTTCCTGGCCAATGGGAGCTGCGAAGCCAGCCCTTGGGGCGGGGGCAGCATGCGGAGGCCCCTGGCCACCCCTCCGCCTAGGAGCCACAGGATATGCTGCCGCTTCCAGGAACCGTGCGGAGCCAGGGAGGCAGAGAGCCTGCCTTAGCCCCGCTGTGCCACCAACCAGACTTTTAACAGCCCGGTCAGCAGCATGACCGGAGCCGCCGGGACCCTTTTTGACCGGGTGTTCTGGTGGAAAATTGGACACCGGGCAGCCCTACTGGCAGTCCGGATTTGGCCCGCAGTCCGCCTATTGATTCCCCCAGCCTATGCCATGCTCATAGCGACTGAAGCATGCGTCTCTGTCCGGAGGGCAGAGCGGACAATCCAGGGGAAATTCCTCCTAACTCCCAATAGTTAGAGGTTGGCTTATGTCAGGGGTGGCCAAACTTACTGACCCTCTGCGCTGCATACGATAATCTTCAGACGTTCGAGAGGCAGGTGTGTCTGCCAGGGCTCAGGGCTTCTCCCTGCTGCAGGGTGGTGGGGCTAGGGACTTCTGCCCTGCGGGGCGGGGGGTCTCAGGGCTCCTGCTGAAGGAGAAGCCCTGAGCTCCCTCCCCACTCCAGTCTGGTAAGCGGAGAATGGGGGAGAGGGGTGTGGAGGGCTCCGGGAGCCACACTTTAACTGTAAAAAAACCTGAGATTTTGCCACCTCTTGTACCCTGAAGCATGAGGGTTTGTATCATTTCCAAGACTCCTGGCTTTAGGGGTGATTATTTTGTTATTACATCACACAATATTCTTGTTACACATAGAACAATCCTTCTTTAAATTCCGCGGAGCTATCTATTTAACACCCCTGCTAACATAGTATCTGAGTACCTCACAACCTTTAAAGTGTTTATACTCTTTGAGGTAGGGGAGTGCTACTATTCCCATTTTACACATGGGGAGCTCAGGCACAGGGAGGTTATGACCTTCCCCAGGTCACACAAGACGTTTGTGGCAGAGCAGGGAACTGGGAATTGAATCCAGCTCTTCCAAGTCCTAGGATAGTGCCTTAGCCATTGGCCATCCTTCCTTCTCTGTTTTTTTTAAAGCTTCTGTAACATGTTGTGGCAATGAGTTCCACAGGTTAATTGTTCATTCTCTATAAAAGTATTTCCTTTTGTCAGTTTTGAACTGACCACCTGTCAATTTCCTTGAATGTCCCCATGTTCTTGTATTATGAGAAAGGATGAATAGAAGCTCCCAGTGTACCGTCTCTAGAACATTCACTAATTTGTATATAGTGTTTTCTCTTAGTTTCTCATGTCCTTGTTTAGAAGATGGGGCTCAGCTCCCATTGTTGGGCACTAGCCGTTGCTTGTTTCTCTTCCTGGGGGGGACTCTTCCTCTTGCTGCTGGGTCAGGGTGTTGTTGCTCTTGAAATTCGGGATGGGGAGATGTTTGGGGACTTTACAATCTAGTTTAAATTTTAAAAATCGCATTACAAACTTTTTAAATCCAGCTTGTTACCCTGTTTCCTTCTCCCCCACCCCCTTTCTCCAGCTCCAGGAGAGAGACTGGCTTATTTGCCCCTTATTCAGTCCCACTCAGTAGAAATCATTTGCTTCTCCAGTGGAAATTTGTGGCCGGCTACAAGAAAACAATTCCTAATGATGAGGAGACTTTGGCCATGTGAAATAGTCTCCTCCTCAAGAGAAAGGGCATCACTAGCGCTTCCATCACTAGAGACATTGAAAATCTACGTAAAATTAGATAAAGTCCTGGAAAATAGGCTACAGACTAGGGGTAGGCAACCTATGGCATGCGTGCCGCCTTCGGCACGTGAGCTGATTTTCAGTGGCACTCACACTGCCCGGGTCCTGGCCACCAGTCCGGAGGGCTCTGCATTTTAATTTAATTTTAAATGAAGCTTCTTAAACATTTTAAAAACCTTATTTACTTTACATACAACCATAGTTTAGTTATATATTATAGACTTATAGAAAGAGACCTTCTAAAAACGTTAAAATGTATTACTGTCACGCAAAACCTTAAATTAGTGTGAATAAATGAAGACTCGGCACACCACCTCTGAAAGGTTGCCAACCCCTGCTATAGACAATTCTACACAGACCCCCAGGAGATGGGAGTGAGGGCCTGAGAGATTCAGAGAGGGGAACTGCTGTGGGATATACTGGGATCGGGGGAGGCTGAGAAAAGCTTGGCAGAATTCAATTTTTTTTACAATTTTAATGGATAATATTGATTTTTATTTTTAAGCACTGTCTTTGATTTTTATCCAGCTACACTTTCGCCGTTGTAGGGAAATTAGACATGGCAGGGACCAGACAAGAATTGTTTAATGACAGCAGACACTGACATTCATAAAGTTAAAGCTTTGTAACCACTGGGAAACACAAACTGTCAACATCACGTGTCAAGATACACGAAGTAAATATCTTGAAACCAAACTCAAATAAGTCCTCAAGCGGCATTTTTCTTATTTTGCCCATCTCTACATTTTGATTATGGATGGAAATACTTTTGCGTCCGTTCGCGCGTGTCCAGTGAAATCGATGTTTATTGATGCTTGCGGTGTTGTAGCAAAAACTGAATCCTTCTAAGCCTAGTTATAGAGAACAGAGACTTTGTGGGAGACAGAGAGAGGGTCAGGTCAGAACAAAGCGACCCCTTTTAAAACCATCAGGAAGAGCTCAACCGGAGACAGACACACACACACACACACACACACACACACACACACACACACACACACACACACACACACACACACACACACACACACACACACACACACACACTACACGTCGTAGGTCGGACGG